GGACTAGAACCCGGTGTGCCGGCACCGCAAGGTGGAGGATTAGCCTAGTGAGCCACGGTGCCAGCCTAAATCACCTTCTAACGCACCAGTGCTGTCTCCCAAGCACACGTTCCCTGTCTTTCAAACCCGCGGCCCAGGAGGGAGAAGTTAGTGAAAGGGGCCACGGGTGACAACCTGAGCAGCTCAGTGGACCAGATGATCTGGCTCCCAAGTCCTTTCTGGCGCTGATACTCAAAGGATTACACAAAAATTCTCTGAGATAATCAGCTGTGACATGTTGTTCTCACTTAATTTTCCTCCATGGCCTGGGGAGGGGGGAAGTCTTGCTCTAAAATTTTGGGGAAGAAAAAAATGTGAGGTCCAAAAGAGGTTTCTAAACAGTCCAGCACCTGGAGAGAGAGTTTTAAAAGCTGGAGATAGGGAGAGAGGAGTGGTGTTGGCACAGCGGGTTCAGCCACTGCCTGCTGCTGCTGGCATCCCAAAAGGGCACCAGTTCCAGCTCTGGCTGCTCTGCCTCCAACCCAACTCCCGGCTAACGCACCTGTGAAAACAGCAGAGGACGGCCCAAGGACTTCAGTCCCTGCCTGCCACCCATCCAGTCCCGGATGGAGTTCCTGGTTTTTGGGTACCATCTTGCCCATAAGCCAGGAGCCAGGAGTTTCTTCCGGGTCTCCCACGTGGATGCAGGGCCCAAGGACTCGGGCCATCCTCTACTGCTTTCCCAGGCAACAGCAAAGAGCTGGGTCAGAAGTGGAATAGCCGGGACTCGAACTGGCACCCATATGGGATGCCGGTGCTGCAGGCAGTGGCTTTACCCACTATGCCACAGCACAGGCTCCCTAAAATACATCTTTAAAAAAAAACTGAAACACTCCAAATAGGAAACAGAAACGAATTCAAGTTCTTTGAACCTAACAATAACAACAGCAGCGACAAAGGTCCTGTGACCTAAGGTAGCAATGGCAACGTCACACTCTGGGGCCTTTTGTTCACCTGTACGGGATCTGGAATTAGTGTGTGTCCCTAGAGGGCTGCGGTCAGGGCAAGGCGTAAGTGTGGCCAGGTACAGGAGGAGCAGCAACAGCAGTCTGTTTTCAGACACCACTCACACTCCTGGGTATTGGGGACAACTGGGGACAGCTGTCAGCCCTCCCCTCAATCAGGGGGTGCTGGGATGCAAATGTAGAAGGAGTAAGGATGGGTGGGAACAGAGAGGCAAGTCGGAGAGGGTGCTGTGTGCTCTGGGCGCTGGTGAGAGACAGACGATGATAACACGGCACAGAAAACACAATGCAGACAACGTGCTGGACCCATATGAGTTATCTCGGAGGGGCCTTAGGATAAACCTGCATGTTACACGTTTTCTCATTCCCATTGTACAACCGAGTGGAATTAAGCAAAGATCAACCAAGTGCGGACGACCGAAGATGCTGTCTCCGAGCCCTGTGCTAACAAGGGAACCCGCCACCATCACTTGTGCTCCTAGGAGAGACTCGGAGGCAGGCAGAAGAGTGGGCAGGCGTCTAGGTGGGACCAAAAGCGAGGCCCTTAGGTGTGCACTGGTCGGAGGCTGTGGGTGTGGAGAAGCTGAAGGCAGCTCATGAGAATCAAGGCGCTCTGTGTGATGGGTGGCGATGCCTTGTGCTTGGGCAAATGATGGAACCCGAGACAACACTTAGGGAAGCTGTCATTCATTGGCCAAGCCCTGACCCTTGGGCATTTATTGTTCCAGGACTGGCTGTTTGTCTTCCTGGATCATTCCTGGGGATAGCAGTCTGACGTCTTACAAGTCTGACTCAGAGCAAGCTGGCTTCCTGGCCTCATTAGTATAAATAAAGGCTTTGTTTCCTAGACTGGGTGCTACAGGTTATAAGCCAGAATTAGGTCTTTAGTTCTGTTCTCCCACTGTCCATAGTTCTTTGGTGTGAGTCTGTGCAAAGCAAAATAATCCCCAATAATTAGCAACCTACTCTCCAGCCCCAGAGAAGCAGGTGAGGCAGCTGCTGCCCGGGATCCAATTCATCAAAAGATGTGATGAGAACGACACTCACCGATGAGCTGGACACACACTGGAACACCAGCAGGCATTTCTTTCAAAAAAATCAGGTGATTTTGTTGCCTTTTCTATTTACTGATTTTCTTTTATACCATGATTAATAAATTATGGGGAAATGATCTGATAAATAAATCATGGGAACATGAAAGCCTTCATAACCCAGGCTATGCCCGAGGAAGACGCTTGCTAAGGAGTCTTTGGTAAAGCGGGCTTGCAAAGGCTTCTCTCTCTGCTACACTGCCCCCAAGGTCACAGGCAGGACCACAGCCCTAACGGGGGAAGTCACGGGGCTGATGGGAGTGGTTAAGATTCAGTGCTCAAATGTCGCCCTGGCTTGGTCCCCGGGACTCCCTCTCTGCTGGCCACTGTGAGTCCCGCCCCGCAGCCCAGTCCAAGGGCCACATTCGTGTTAGAACCCGACAGACGACAGCCTGTCTAAATGGCCACTTGCCACGTGTCCGTGAACCCCACAGTTTCTGAGCATTAGGTGAAGACACTGACATAAGGGGTCCCCTGCTGGATCATGAATTCTGAGGGCAGGCCCAGGACCTTGTGGCTAAGCCGGCTGCATCCCAGGTAAGGGTGTTTGGGTCTGCATCCTGGATGCACACTCTTGGAGTCCAACTCCCGGCTGATGAGATCCCTGGGAGGCAGTGGTGATGGCTCAAGTAGAAGCTGGGACCCTGCCACCCACAGGAGAGCTCTGGAGTGGTTGCCAAGGCTCCTGGCTCCAGCATTGGCTCAGCCCCGGCCATTGCATGCTTTTAAGGAGTGAACCGCACAAGGATTGGAGTTCTCTCTCTCTCTCTCTCTGCCTATTGGTCTCTTTGTTTGGTCCTTCCTTCCTTCCTTATTCCTTCCTGTCCATCATTTCCCCTCCCTTCCCCTCCCTTCCCCTCCCCTATCCTCCCATATCCTCCCCTACCCTACCATAGCCTTCCTTCCTCCCTCCCTTCCTCTCTCTCATGAATAAGCAAACACAATCTCATTTTTTAAACACATAATTCTGTCCTCCCTGCAAACACACTCATCTGATGGGAAGCAGAATTCCAGGGAAGCTACAGGATTCTGAATCTACATAAAGGCTGGTCTAGGCTAATTCCCTGTGGCCCAACAACTTTATTCCCCCTACACGAATGCATCTGGGATATCCGTACCCTCCTCACAGGCCCTTACAGCCCCCGTCTAGAAAAGTCCAGGTCCTGGCTCAGATGCCAGCTGCTCAGGGACACCTCCCCTCACTGGGTCACCTCGACAATGATGCACCTGCTTTGGCTTCCATGGGTCTTTGGGAAGAATGTGACAAATACTTTCCCTGTGGTAGCACAGTTATTTTCATGTGTTGTTTATCTCCCTCCCTATGGGATGCATTTCTTTTGTTTGTTTGTTAATTATTATTTCTTTGAAAGGTAGAGGGAGGGAGAGACAGAGACAGGGAGAGAGACAGAGAGAGAGAAAGAGAGAGAGTGTAAAAGAGAGATCTTGCATCTGCTGGTTCATTCTCCAAATGGTCCCAGTGGCTGAGCTGGGCCATGCCAAAGCCAGGAGCCTGGAACTCCAACCTTGTCTTCAACGCGGGTGGCTGGGGCCCAAGTACTTGGATCACCTCTGCCGCCTTCCCAGGAGAACCTGGGTTGGAAGCAGGGCCAGCACCCTGATCAGGGACGCAGGCATCACAAGACGCGGATTAACCTTCTGAATGTAACAAGGTCGTACCGCTGGTCTCCGTGCATTTCTTTCTGGCAAACCCGGGTCTTCCTGTCTCCCAGTGCCTGGCACCCCACAGCACCCTGTGATCCACCCTTCTCTTTTGTATTTCACAACAGTCCAAGGAAGAAAGGGTGGCAGTCACGAAAACCAGGACACCACAAAAGCAAGTGCTGCTGTCCGGTCTTAAAGCAAATAGCTATGGCCCAAGCTCGTCCCCATGACATCTCTGCCTCCCACAGCTGCTCTCACAAGGCCATAGCACAGCCCCACAGTGGTCCAGTTCGGTCTGGGGGCGCACAGCTCATTTCGTGAGGCGTGCTTGGAATTCAGCCGAAGCACCAGTGCCCACGCACAACGTTTGCCTGCACAGAGCCCTCTGCTTCTCTCTTTCCTTATCCAGACACACACACACACACAAGCGTAGGTGCCGTAGAGTTTCCTCACTGGTCAGTGGAAAGTAAAGAGGAGCGCTGACCCCACTGACAGCTGGGGGGGTGCACTTGCTGCACCTGCTGTCGCCACCAAACACGGATCCTGTATTTAATCTGCAATGCTCACCACGAGGGCTTCTGCAGCTGGAGATAGGAATTTCCTGCTCAGCGGGGAAGGCCACCCCTGCTGGGAGGAAGGCAGACTGATCTCACCAGCCTCGGCCCTGGCCTGGCTGACTTAAACCCTTCACTCCCTGCTTGGCAGCCTTGGAGCCGCTTTCTAATTGCCATTTGTCTTCCCGAGTTAGGGCTCCCCCAGGGCAAGAGGGGGGTGCTGATCCAAAGGCCTGCATGTTTTGATTTGCAAGAGATGCACAGTCTTCATGATACATTAGCAAACTGACATTTGTGTTCCACATGCCACAGGAAAACGCGGTATGTGAAAAGCAAAGCAGCTCGTGTTTGTGACGCGCTTGTCCCGTGGGTCCTGTCTTTTGTTGTTCCACGGCCCTTGTGGCATCTCAGGAAGCTTTGCTCCATCCCCTGCACCTCTGCACATGCTTTTCTACACAGTCCCAATGAAAGTCACCAGAAAGGTCCACCAGCGCTACACTGGCAACGTCTGGAAGGAAAGAAAGTGATTGGAAAAAGAAAAGACTCTTGGCCGTTTATCTGTAAGTTGACTGTAATGTTTCAGACAATCAATTTTCCCACAAACCTGATCAGATGGTACTCCCCACCCCTCCAAAGCCCTCAGCAGACAGAGCACGTCTGGGGATGCCATGGGGCATGGGGCTACTCACGTTCTCCGAGCGGAGCCGCTTGGCAGGACAGCCCCCGTCCCTGGGGTGAAGCATGTAGTACAGTCGGACTTTGCTGGCATGTTTTCGGCTCTGGGGAGAAAAGGAGAGGCAGGTGTTTGTAAAGGAGGAGGCATTTGTGGTCTTAGGAAACAGTCAGGGACATTGCAAATGTGAAGGAATGTTTCCAGGAGAGAACTTCCTGCACTCCTGGGGTTTCAGATAAGTCAAAGGACTCACCCGAAGCCCTGAGGCTGCTGTCAATACAGAATAAGACAAAGGTGCAAGCTCCAAGAAGTGGATAATGTATTGCACTGTCCCCCGAAATTAAGGACAGACAGGTCAGCAAAGAGAGTAGCACACAGGTCAACTGGGATGCACAAAGAAGCAACAAGGGGATGGATTGTTCTCACTCTCCACCCTGTCCTGAGGAGCTTGGGCAGGCACTGCCCCCTACAACTGTCCTTTTGTCTATTCTCCCACAGGGGTCCTCTGAGGTCCGACACCACTCAGCCAATAGACACATTGCATGCATGTGCGGGGACCAATCAGCCATGCCACCTGCAAGCAGGCTCAAGCAATGGGAATAAAGGTGGGACTATTAGTTTCTGGCAAGACTGACAGCTCCGTGCCCTATCCAGACTCCCATCACTCGAGACTTGTTTATTTTTTATTGTTATCTTTATTTATTCATTTGGGGGCAGACGGATCAGATGGAGAGAGCACACATCATCTGGTTCACTCCTCACATGTCCGCAGCTACCAACACTGGGCTGAAGCCAAAGGCAGAAGGCCCGAGCACAGCCCAGGTCACCCATGTGGGCATCACCACTACCTTCCAAGGTCCACATTAACAGGAAGCTGGAGCCAGGAGCAGAGCCAGGCTCCACCCCAGGCCCTCTGATGTGGGACCCCGCTGTCCCATGGGGCATCTTCACTGCTAAGCCAAGCGCCCACCCCTCCCGTGACTGCAGAGCAGCACTGTAATTCTAGCTCCCGCGTCCCCACCTGAGGCTGGGCGGCCCAGTGAGCAGAGCAGAGAGAGAGCAGGCTGAGGTTCAGATTCTCGGCACTGGCCCTAGCTCTTTCCACCTGGGTGACTCTGGGCCAATGACTAGAATTGGCCACCAAATACACGTACACTCAAAATGGGTCAGGTTTCCCGATACTTGTTAAGGTGGCCGTGCAGCCCTGCCTTACCCAACCTGCCTCTCGTACACCCTCCTCCACTTCCTGTGTAGTGGGAAACTACAGCTGCCCACAAAACTGCCTCTTGGAGTCAGTGCCAGCCAAAAGTAACCAACATGGCGGCCAGCCATGTCCCCACATTGACCTTAGGCAAATCGTAAGGTCATTCTAATAAAATTACTATGACTGACACTCCTACACCCATCATGCACCTGACACCATGATACTTATAAGAGCTGACACCATGATATTTACAAGAGCTCCACAAAAGGTCAAAGACTTGGGCAATACTCAAACTCCACCCCCAATTCTGCCCCCATGAACACTTCATTAAGCCCCGCCTCCAAACTCCACCCACTAGGCCTGCAGATCAGATGGCCCCACACCTTGTTGAGGGCACTCTCTTTTGAGTATGTCTGAACCCCTTTTTTCTTTTTATTTATTTGTATCTCATAAACACAACATTAGCAACATAGTAATTTTTCCCACTGTACCCGTCTTCCCATGCACTACATCCCCCCCTTCTTCCTCCCTCTCCTGTTTAGTCCAAGGAAGACAAACAAACAGAAAGAAAAATAAAAAAAACTAAGAAAACTGTTCCTCAACAGCCTAGACAAGAGTTGTTCTATGTCACTGCGCATGCATTTTTGCTCTGTAGGTAAATAAACCTTGTCTTTCTGCTGACGTCTTACCCACATCCCATCCCCAAACTCTTTCTGATGTCAGAAACAAGAACCTGGGCCCAGCCACCCCTCGACATCGGCGTGTATGAGAAACTACAACTCCACCCAGCACTAAATATTTCTTACTATACTATCGACCCCGCCGATTCCCTAACACTGAATCGATCCAATCCATTGCTCTCGATGGAGTCCTGATCTCCTCTCCTTCCTGTAGAGATCATTTCCCTTGTTCTAAAGTCTTTGCCTCTCTTTGCCTTTGTCTACAGTTGCATTTGCACTAATCCCCTGCTCGATGGCTTTTTTTATAGCTTAGCCACAAAGGCAGAGTGGCTTTCAGAGAACACACAGCAAGATACACCTTCTTTACTGGATATATTGTAAATCCTTGCTGTCAATGGTCCTTACTAATCACCTTTTTTAATTCCTTTATTCTCCCTACAGCGAGATCATGCTGCCCAACAGTTCCTAAACACTTGATGGTCTTTAGACGGGTGTAAACAGGCTAATAGAACCTCAAAATTTTTACTGAGGTATAATAATGCTGAGTCTCCTTTTTGAATATATATTGTCAACACTTGTATGCCATTTCTAGGTGACCTGTTAGTTTTTTTTTTTTAATGGTTGATTTATTTGAAAGGCAGGCTGAAAGAGAGAGCTCTCTCATCTGCTGATTCCCTCCGCAAATGGGCCATGCCAAGAACAGGAGCCTGAGACTGCATCCATGTCTCCCACAGGGACTCACGTACGTGGACAATCTCCTGCTGCCCTCCCAGGCACATTAGCAGGGAGGTGGCCTGGAAACGGAGCAGCTGGGACTCCCAGAGCTCCAATACGGGATGCCGGTGGCTTGGCAGGTGACGTCTTAGCCTGTTGCACTGCCAACACTGGCCCCGATTAGTAGTCTTTAATCTAGGGTCATCTGGAGTGTTTTTTGCCAGGAAGATTGGCAGGCCAGAAGAGAGACTTTGTGTGTGTCAGAGGATTAACCTCTCTCTCTGTAACTCTACCTTTCAACAAATAAAAATAAAAACTAAAAAAAAAAAACACTTGCAATTTGCTGGCGAGAGACACAGAGCCTGAGCTGGTGGCAGGAGGCACACACATATGGTCACCAGGGAGCCCGAGCAGTGACATTGCAAGCTCAGATGTGGCTGAGACAGAAGCACCTGCCTCACCCATCTCCTCACAGCCCTGGATTCCCAGAGACCAGAATCATGGTCAAATCAGAAATCTCAACGCACCGAGGTTTTGTGGCTGTTTTTTTTTTCCCTCCACTTTCCTAAACTATTCCATTTCTTACTCAAAGTTCACGGTGTTATTTAATTGCAATTTGACAAGACCAGTCAGAGCCCATTAGCTGAACAGAAAAGCGAAATCAATGGCAGGGCCTGTGGTGGCGCCGTGCGTGCAGAGCGCGCCTGGGATCTGCCGCCTGTTGGTGACCCTGATTGGGCGAGGTCGCTGTGCGCGGTGTCTCCAGCAGCTCGTCTGCCCCAGGTCCCGTATGGACTGGGACTGGCCGCGCACTACACATAGGGCCCTTGCCTGAGGTTAGGGGCTGGGGGAGCTTTGGTTGATCACCTGGCTTGGGGCGTGGCAGTGAAAGCCACGCGGTTTCTCCTCCTGGGCACGCCTCTTACCTCCCTTGGCTTTCCCCCCACCCAGGGCCTCCCACGCTCAGCAGCCACGCCTGAGCCACTCAGAGGGAGAACTCCGGGGCCAGCCCTTCCACTCTGCAGTGGACTGGCTGTGGGGTCCTGCTGCTGGTCAGGCTGGCTCAAAACCACAGCTGCTTGCAAATGATACTGATTGGCAAAGGGACAGAGGACCCAGCAGGCTGTTCCTGGGTGGCTGCCAGCTTGCCTGGCCTCCCACCGAGGGCCGCAACGCTGGGGGGAGGGTGCAGATCCCCCCCTTGCTTCCCAGCACACCCAGCCTTTTCCCAAGAACGGACTCTCTGAGTCACTTACAGCACCAACCTCCGACCGGCTTCTCTCCGCTGCCTCAGCACCAGAAAGAAATTCCCTGACGCTGGGCATGGTGATCCTGCAGCTTTCCAAAAAATAAATAAACGAAAACATCCCCAATGTGACAATGACATCAGTGCAATGGTGCTCAAGGCAGTGTTACCTAAATAGGGAGAGAGACAGCTATGAGTTCATCAAGAGGAAGCCTAGCAAGGCAGCCATGGAGTGAACCTGGCTTCTGTGAAGAGACGCGAGAAATGCTTTCAACACAGCAAGTATGGCATGAAAAATGCTGAACTCAGAATCACACGTGTGTACTACGATCACCACCACGCACAAGCTGATAAGCATGTGAACAGGAGGTGGTGAAGAAAGCAAAAAGCAGAATTAATGAGGATAGAGGGCGCGGGGAAGGTTTTCCCCTTTTTACATCTGGCGTGAATTTGCCTACACATAGTGAGAACCTGGCAATGCTCAAGCCATTGTCACTTCACCTGCCGTATAAATTTATACACGATTAATGCGATTCGCAGTGAGTATCACGGAGAAGGAATGCTGTTTACATAGCCTGGTAGAATTGCCCACATTTGTGGCTATCATTGATAATTGCTTCTCCACTGTGGAAAGGCTTTTTTTTTTTAAGATTTGTTTTTATTTATTTGAAGGACAGAGTTACAGAGAGAGGTAGAGACAGAGAGAGAGGTCTTCCATCTGCTGGTTCACTCCCCAGATGGCCGTGACGGCCAGAGCTGTGCTGATCTAAAGCCAGGAACCAGGAGCTTCTTCTGGGTCTCCCACGCAGGTGTAGGGGCCCAGGGACTTGGGCCATCTTCCACTGCTTTCCCAGGCTATTGCAGAGAGCTGGATCAGAAGTGGAGCAGCCGGGACTTGAACCGGTGCCCATATGGGATGCTGGCACCGAAGGCCGGGGCAGTTAAAGCCACAGCGCAGACCCCTGTTTTGGTTTTGTTTGTTGTTGCACAGCTTGGCATCGGAGGAACCTTCTCAACTCAGGGACAATGCGTGCTACTTCAAATCTTACCACATGAGGTCGGGATACACCGTGCCGAGGTCAAGGCGCGCACGTTTACCCTTGGAGACCATGGAGCACAGCTCCTTGGAGAAGGCCGAGAGAAAACACATTTCCACCACCCAGGAAACACAACCACCCCCAACAAATCCTTATGAGTTTTGCAAAGACTTACTAAGGCCGAACATGTGCGCAGTCTTCAGGAGTCGTAAGAAGACGGACCCC